CGTCTCCAACCCCTCCTCTGAATGAGCAGCTATTACCAAATCATCGGCATACATAACGTGGTTGAGCAATAGGGAGCCATCCTTTGACCGCACCCGGGCATTGATCAGCCTCCCATTATATCTGTACCATATGGAGATTCCCCCGGTACAGCTATTGAAGGATTCACGAACTACGTGGTCAAAATAGATGTTAAATAATGTGGGAGCCAGAGGACATCCCTGTCGCACCCCAAGGTGTACAGGGAATGGCTCTGACTCCCGGCCACGTAGTTTTTCCCGGGCCCGCTCACCATCATGAATGTCCTTAATGATCGTGAGCAGAGGGTCAGGTACTCCAAAAGCACGAAGAACAACCCAGAGCCCAGGCCTACTGATGGTATCATAGGCCTTGACCAGGTCAATAAAGCAGAGATGTAGGTCTTGTTGGAATTCCCTACACCTCTGCATCGCCTTGCCAGGCACGCTGAGGAGAGGCTTGCGGAGCCCCAATGCGGTTTCAGGAAAGGGCGGTCCTGCACAGATGCCATATTTTCTGTCCGTCTGCTACAGCAGAGGTGTGTGTATCCACACACACGTACACACACATGCGGTGCGCATGGACTCACGAATAGCAGCAAATGTATGCGTCAGTCAACCTGGCGGGCCATCTAGTGGTAGTGCCTTACGCCTAAAATATTCCCGACCCACGCGTGAGGAGCGGAGTGAAATGTTTAGCGACGATTTTAGAGTCACCTGAGAACCGTTCTGAGGCCTCAATGGAGCAAATGTTATTGGAATCATAATATCACTGCAATAATATGCATTATCATCATCACAAAAAATATCACTGCAATAATCACCATCACAGCAATCACCATCACGATAATCTCCGTCACAACTGTCATCATCAACACAATCATCACCATCGCTGCAATAATCATCACCGTAACAATCTCTGTCACGACTATCATCATCATCAACACAATTATCACCAACACTGCAATAATCATCATCAACACAATCTCCACCCACCAACCCCACCTCCACCCACCAACCCCACCCACCAACCCCCATCTCCACCCACCGATCCCACCTCCACCCACCAACCCCACCTACAAACCCCAACTCCACCCACCAACCCCCACCCACCAAACACCACCTCCACCTATCAACCCCACCGCCACTCACCACCCCACCCATATCCCCCACCCCTCCTGTGTGTGTGTGTACGTGTGTGTGTGTACGTGTGTATGTGTGTGTGTACGTGTGTGTGTGTGTGTACGTGTGTGTGTACGTGTGTGTGTGTGTGTACGTGTGTGTGTGTACGTGTGTGTGTGTGTGTACGTGTGTGTGTATACACGCGTGCGTGTGTGTACGTGTGTGTGTGTACGCGCGTGTGTGTACGTGTGTGTGTACGTGTGTATGTGTGTACGTGTGTGTGTGTGTGTACGTGTGTATGTACGTGTGTATGTGTGTGTACGTGTGTGTGTGTGTACGTGTGTGTGTGTGTGCGTACGTGTGTGTGTACGTGTGTATGTGTGTGTACGTGTGTGCGTGTGTGTACGTGTGTGTGTATACACGCGTGCGTGTGTACGTGTGTGTATACACGCGTGCGTGTGTGTGTGTGTACGTGTGTGTGTGTACGCGCGTGTGTGTACGTGTGTGTGTACGTGTGTGTACGTGTGTGTGTATGTGTGTGTACGTGTGTGTGTACGTGTGTATGTACGTGTGTATGTGTGTATACGTGTGTGTGTGTACGTGTGTGTATACACGCGTGCGTGTGTGTACGTGTGTGTGTGTACGCGCGTGTGTGTACGTGTGTGTGTACGTGTGTGTGTGTACGTGTGTGTGTGTGCACGTGTGTGTGTGCACGTGTGTGTGTACGTGTGTGTACGTGTGTATACGTGTGTGTTTATACACGCGTGTGTGTGGATGTGTGTATGTGTGTATGTATGTGTGTATACGTGCGTGTGTGTACGTGCGTGTGTGTACGTGTGTGTAGGTGTGTGTGTGTACGTGTGTGTGTGTGTGTGCGTACGTGTGTGTGTGTGTATATACACGCGTCCGTGTGTGTGTGTCCGTGTGTGTGTACGTGTGTGTACATGTGTGTGTACGTGTGTGTGTACGTGTGTGTTTGTGTGTACGTGTGTTGTACGTGTGTGTATACACGCGTGTCTGTGGATGTGTGTGTGTGTATACACGCGTTTGTGTACGTGTGTGTGTGTGTACGTGTGTGTATACACGCGTGTGTGTGGATGTGTGTGTGTGTATACACCCGTGTGTGTACGTGTGTGTGTGTGTACGTGTGTGTGTGTGGATGTGACAGTGTGGAAAACGGGAAGCGGTGGTGCAGCGGTTAGCGCTACGCGGTGCTACGAACTTGACGACCCGGGTTCGATTCCCGTTCACAGCCAACACCACCAATGACGATTATCTGAACCGGTCCTGGGCTTCCCCTAGGTCGACTCAGCCTCAAATAAGTACTCCGTGCAATGTTTAAACATCGTCACTAGAGAGACAAAGGCGGCCGGGCGTAGTGTTGGCCACCCACCTCCTCTTATGCCGTGCTGGCCTTCATAGGTGCTCGCTCACAGCACTGGCCCTAACAGTCTGCTAAGGCTACATGGGGGATCTTTGTCTTGGATGTGACAATAGTGGAGCACAGTTGATGCATCTGACCAGTCATCTCAGTCAGTCAACCCATGGCACCTGCTGGGTCTATCCTGTAACCTCCTCCTGCACCAAGCCTGGCACAGCAGTCAACCCAAGGCACCTGCTGGGTCTGTCCCATGACCTCCTCCTGCACCTAGCCTGGCACAGCAGTCAACCCATGGCACCTGCTGGGTCTGTCCAGTAACCTCCTCCTGCACCTAGCCTGGCACAGCAATCAACCCATGGCACCTGCTGGGTCTGTCCCGTAACCTCCTGCACCTAGCCTGGCACAGCAGTCAACCCATGGCACCTGCTCTTTCTGTCCCGTGATCGCTTATCAAAAGCGAACCTTCGACACTTCACTATGACCCGGGTCCCCCTTAGATCAATCGAACAATAGATTCGTCAATCATCCCAATGTGGCACGACCCTACTGACAAAGAGTCTTGGGACTCGCGGAGGCTTTTCTGGGTAAATTAACGACATTGTCATTGAAACATAACGTTCGTGACCACACATCCCAAAGTAGTAGAGTTGTTTTAATTACGTAATAATAGTATTGAGATTCAAACGAGACTTGTCATGGGTAGGTAAATCAAGGCCACCATCACCACCACCACCACCAATTCCACCAATACCAACAGCCGCCGTTCGCCACTAAATGACGGTGACATCTCCACGGCAGCTGTGCCATGCCTGGTGCACTTTGAGGCCACGTGAAGTGTCGAAGGCTCGCTAACAGACCCAGCAGGTTCCATGGGTCGGCTGACTGAGATGACCGGCTGATGCACCACCTGTGCCCCATACTGTGCCAACTCTGCTGCGTTTTAGCCGCCCGGCGCTCCGCTCGTTGTTGTGAGCATCGCTCCTCTGCCCTCTGTTGTTGCTGGAGGGCGACTGCCTCCAACTACCCAGTAGGAGCGTCCTTTACGAGCCTTCTCCAATCTTGACATCACTGGTACCAGTCGTCGGCAATTCCACTCCGCCCCACATTCTCCCGTACCACATCACTCCATCTCCTCTCCAGCCCATGTCGTGCCCGTTTAGCCCCTTCTATTTGGCCAAACAGAAGCTCCTTGGGCATGCGGTGGCTGGGCATGCGGGCTACACGACCCAGCCAACGAAGTCTTGCCTGTCGGAGGAACTCACTGATGGGAATGTGTTCAGATCTTTCAATGATTTGTGGGCTCCTCAAACCATCCAGCCTGCTTTAACCCAGGGTAAATTGTGGGCATGCCAGCCTGAATGTTTCTAACTTGCACAGATGCTCCATTAGAGGGGTCGACGTGGAGCGACAGACTGGTAGCTTGCACACAGCATTCCGCAGCCGAAGAAAATTTGCCGCCTGACTGTTTCGGATTGAGACCTCTGCTGTCAAAACGGAGCTGGTCAGGAGCACACTGTCAGGTATGGGGAAATCTCCCTTGCTCCAACAATGGGGAGGTGAGGGGATGGAGTGTTTAGTGGCACAAAATGCCCAGGAGGGCGCTTAGTATTGGTGGGCACCTTCAACCACTCCACTGAGTGAGCAGCAATCACCAGATCATCAGCATACATAACATGATCGTCCAATAGGGAGCCATCCCACGACCGCACCCGGGCATCGGTCAGCCTCCCGTTCCATCTTTACCAGATGGAAATTCCTCCCCTACAGCCATGGAAAGCTTCACGAACTACGTGGTCAAAGATGATGTTAAATAATGTGGGAACCAGAGGACATCCCTGTCGCGCCCCAAAGTGAACAGGGAATGGTTCCAACTCCTGGCCACGTAGCTTTACCCGGGCCCGCTCACCATCATGAAGGTCATTAATGATCGTGAGCAGAGAGTCAGGGACTCCGACAGCACGAAGAACAACCCAGAGCCCAGGCCTACTGATGGTATCATAGGCCTTGACCAGGTAAATAAAGCAGAGATATAGGTCTTGTTGGAATTCCCTACACCTCTGCTGTAGCAGACGGACAGAGGATTTGACATCCGTGCTGGGCCGCCCTGGTCTGAAACCACATTGGTGCTCTGCAAGCCTCTCCCCAGAGTGCCTGGCAAGGCGATGTTGAATATTTCTTGCCTTGACCTTTGCCGGCACAATGAGAAGAGAGATGCCCTACCACCATCGTCGTCACCACCATCATCGTCATCATCAGCACCAACATCACCATCATCATCAGCACCACCCCCACCACCATCATCACCACCATCATCATCGTCATCACCACCATCACCATCATCATCGTTATCAACACCACCACCACCACCATCATCAGCACTACCACCACCATCATCACCACCATCATCATCATCATCATCACCACCACCAGCACCATCATCACCAGCACCACCATCATCATCGTCACCACCACCACCGCGATCATTACACAGATCTGGGGACCAGGCTCAGGGTGGAGCTCTGGGCCCCCTTGGCGCGCCGGTGGCGCGGCACCATCGCGACCACGGCGCGCCTGATGGCGCCCGTGCGCAGGCCATAGATGACGGGGTTGAGCGCGGGCGGCGCCGTGTAGAAGAGGCACGTGAGGGCCGAGCGGGTCGTGTCGGGCATTGGGAAGAGCTTGTCCACGCGGTTGTAGATGATGACGAAGAGCAGCGGGGCGTAGAAGACGGTGAGCACCAGCACGTGGGTGACGCACGTGCGCAGGGCCTTGTCGCGACGCGTGGCGGCGACGGCGGCGACGCCGGCGACGCCGGGCTTGGCCGAGGTCGAGCCGGCCGCGAGCGTGGACGGGTTCTGGGCGCCCGCGGAGGTCGAGGCGGCGTGGGGCGCCGAGTGGCCGACCCGGCCCCGCTTGACGAGGCACTCGTGGGCGATGCTCGCGTAGGAGAAGGTCACGACCGCGAGCGACCCGCCCACGGTCACCGCGGCGACCGCGACGGCGTACGCGTTGCTGGCGCTGCCGTCGCTGCACGAGATGCGCACGAGGCCCATGATGTCGCAGTACGCCGACGGGATGGCCTTGCGCAGGGGGCACTCGCTCAGCTCCAGCCGCAGCTGCAGCGCCAGCATCGGCGCCACGGCGGCGGCCGCGGCGGCCGCGGCCGCCGCGGCCGCGGCGAGGGCCCGCCCGTTGGTGGCCACGCCGTGGTAGCGCAGGGGCCTGCAGACGGCCGCGTAGCGGTCGAGGGCCATCGCCGAGAGCACGAAGCACTCGAGGGCGCGGTAGAAGTGGATGGCGATGGTCTGGGCGACGCACTCGCCCACCGTGATGAGGTTGGGCGCCGCCAGGTCGCGCATGATGCGCGGCAGCGTGGCGGAGCAGCCGACGACGTCGCTGATGGCCAGGTTTGCGAGCAGGATGAACATGGGCCTGTGGAGGCGCGGGTCGCGGTAGATGGCGGCGCACAGCAGCAGGTTGCCGACGAGCGCCACCGCGTAGAGGAGGAGGACGACGGTGAAGACGAGCGGCCGCGTGCCGGCCGGCTCTCGCAGCAGGCCGGCGATCACGATCAGAATGTCCGGTGATGATGGTGATGATGACGATGAGTTCGACTCCATGGTGATCAAGATCAAGCTTAGTGGTGGTGATGGTGGGTGGTGATTGAATGGGATGGTCGTGAGTGAGAGATGAATATCGGCGATGGTGTGGTGGTGGTGGTGATTGAATGGGATGGTCGTGAGTGAGAGATGAAGATCGGCGATGGTGTGGTGGTGGTGGTGGTGATTGAATGGGATGGTCGTGAGTGAGAGATGAAGATCGGCGATGGTGTGGTGGTGGTGGTGGTGATTGAATGGGATGGTCGTGAGTGAGAGATGAAGATCGGCGATGGTGTGATGGTGGTGGTGGTGATTGATCGTTGTAGCCCCTGCAGGTGTTAAGCTGTACCTGCATCCAAACAGATCACCAAAAGGAGATGGAATGACTTATTACGTCTACACAACTCAACACAGCTCAACGTTGTTACTAACTCCCGCTTTTATTCAAGTCGGAAAACATTCCTGGAAACACCATTGATTCCTCCTTTTCCACTGGCTCATCCAAGCCGAGCAAGCATGGAATAAGTACGGCACGGATGGGGTCTTTTTCCATTGGCTCATCCGAGCCGAGCAAGCACGGAATCAGCATGGTACGGATGTTTTTTTTTTCCACTGGCTAATCCGAGCCGAGCAAGCATGGAATCAATATGGTACGGATGTTTTTTTTTCCACTGGCTAATCCGAGCAGAGCAAGAACGAAATCAGCATGGTACGGATGAGTTTTTTTCCACTGGCTAATCCGAGCCGAGCAAGCACGGAATCAGCATGGTACAGATGGGTTTTCCACTGGCTCATCTTAGCAGAGCAAGAACGGAATCAGCATGGTATGGATGAGTTTTTTTTCCACTGGCTCATCCGAGCCGAGCAAGCACGGAATCAGCAGGGTACAGATGAGTTTTTTTTTCCACTGGCTCATCCGTGCCGAGCCAGCACGGAATCAGCACGGTACGGATTAGTTTTTATCTTCCACTGGCTGCCGTGCGGACCCACAACTAAACCAAGAACGCATGCCGCTAGCCTCATGCAAGAAATAAGTTTGCATCTAAACTGAAACTACAAATTGATAAATGTTTTTAATTTTTTTTATCCAGGTAAGGCCCACTGAGCGATGTAGCTCTTTGTCAGAAGGGACCTGGCCATACATGATAGCTCAACGATGTGGCTCATCGTCACGTGGAACTTCATAGTAGTCACCTACTCTAAACGCTTGCTGTTGATTCTAAATGTCCGCGTGTTCGTTCCTCAATCCGCTTGTGAGGGCCGTGGCGGCAGCATGTTTAGTAGTGGCGGTCCAGACCTCCATTTCTCTGGGGACGGGCTCTTGCTCAACATTATTATGCACTACGACACATTAATACACGCTGCTACACTGTCATCTAGATTTGAAGTTTTCGTGACTGCAGGGTTCCATACTCTGTGATTATTTCGGTAAAGTCACGTAGGTAGAAAAAAATAAAAAAATTCATCACGACGTTTCGGGCGCAACACAAGCGTCAGTCATCAGGTGGGACAACCACACCAAGAAACAATTGCTGAAGTGGGCAAAAGGGCTGCTGTAACAAGAGGCTATATAGGTAAGAGAGGGGGGAAGGAGCCAGGGAGGAGAGCCTCTGGTTACAGCAGCCCTTTTGCCCAGTGACGTGACATTTAACGTCACAATAGCCAGTGTCCATCGCCAAGGTCCAGTCCATCCAACGACTCTAAATACGTTCATAATAAAGGTTTTTGGGTTAGATCGCGTTATTTATAAATGTGTCGTAACCCTCCACCACCCGACACGGCCAATCAGTAAACAAGTGTCACGTTGACAAAAGGCAATTAGTTCACTACTTTAGCCCACCGGTGTGTTGAAGAGTGAATCCACAACATTTACAGTTTGAGTACGACGTTTCGCTGGTGATTACATCCAGCATCATCGGGCAATTCACCAGAATGGTGAAGTCCTCTCCACTTGCTCCCGGTCTTAAATAGAGCAGCAGCAGGGTGACGTCATCATTTAACTCATTCAGGTGCAGTGATTTGAGGCAGAGGGGGGGTATTGTAATTATAAAATCGATTGGTAATCAGTCAATGGTTATGATTAGAAATGAGTTGTAGATTAGTAATTAGTTGTAATGTGTATTATTTAATAACTGAACCCAATTACTATAATCACTCAAGTGCAGAAATTAAAGGTGAGGGGGGGGGGTTATATCATAGATTTGTAATCAGTTAATTATTATGATTAGTAATACGTTGGAGATTAGTAATTAGTTGTAATGTGTGTTATTGTAATTATATACTACGTTAGTATTCAGTTAATTAGTATGTGTTTCCCCTATAAGGAATTGTAATATGTATTATTTAATAATACGCTTCCAAGCCGCACTAAGCTTGTAGCTATCAGAGCGATTCAAGTTATTTCTATTTCTCTCAATTTCAATGGATTCTCTAATTAGTCTTTGTCAGTAATAATTCGTTTTACACAACACTTCAACGTTATCAAAATCAATTGAGTATCCTTGTTGACAAGCATGTTCTGTCACCGCCGACAGTTGTGTTTGAGATCATTTAATATTTCTTTGATGTTCGTTTAGTCTTATGCTGATGTTACGTCCCGTCTGTCCAATATAGCATCTGTCACATAAACAATTAATCCGATATACACCTGTTAATAATTTAGGTAATTCGTTTTTAGTGCAAGATACTAGTGTTTGAATTTTGTGTACCGTACCAAATCTTACTTTAATGTTTTGCTTTTGCAAAACACGAGCTAATTTGTCAGTTACTCCTGAGATTAATGGTATTTTAATTGTTTTAACAATGTGATCGCTTTCAGCAGTGTTGCTTTGCGATCGTGATTTGGCATTCAGTGCTCTGTTAATTTGAGCATTGTTGTAGCCATTCTGTCGTAGCGCTTCTTTAACGTGTTTGATCTCTCTCACTCGACTTTCACCATCTGACACTGTTGTAGCCCGATGTATGAGCGTCTTGATAAGAGAGGATTTCTGAGCTAGGTGATGATGCGAACCTGCATTCAGATAAGCATCAGTGTGCGTTCGCTTTCTGTAAACGCTCTGTGTGTGTGTGTGTGTTTTTTACCATTTAGGCCATGTCCAAGCAAAATACTCTTTGCTTCTTTCGATCACGACGTTGCGATCGCAACACAAGCAAACCGTCGTCAGGTGAGACCAACGCAACAGGGGAAATGATGACGAAGGAGAAAGAGCTGCACCATTCTTAATGCTACCAGGAGCAGGGCGGCTCCACTGAGCTGCAGTTTCAGCAGGGGCTCGCTTTCAGAAGCGATCCGGCTCTCGCAAACGATCGCTCGAGCGAGTGGCCACTTATCATCATCATCATCATCACGTGGAAATTCATAGCAGGAGCCAGAGTTTGTGGGGGCGGTGAGGAAATGGCCAAATGCGGCTACGGAGCCGAATTCGGCTCCAGACGGACTGCTTCGTGGCCTAATGTACGTGGGTGCCCACACGCGTAGCGGCGATTTAAATGTTGAGTTTTTACCAAATTCGAAAATGTAAATGGCCCTCATTGTTATTTTGGCTTTGCCGATTCGCCCGTATTGAAGGGTGCTGAGTCGCTCCCCATCTCTTGCGTGTGTGTGTCTGTTGCTATGTCTGTGGTGTGCATGCGTGTGGGTGTACAATAGTGGGGAGCGGTGGTACAGTGGTTAGCGCGCTGCGCCTTCGAACCTGACTATGACTTGGGTTCGATTCCCGCGACCAGGTGACGGTTATCTGAACCGGTCCTGGGCCTCTGCTAGGTCGACTCAGCCTCAAATGAGCACCTGGTGTGGTGTGTAAACATCGCCACTGGGGAGACAAAGGCAGCCAGGCATGGTGCTCGCCACCCACAGTGCCCGGCCTTCATAGGCGCTGCTGCTACTCGCTAACAACCACTCGCCCCGACAGTCTATTCACGGCTTCACGGGATCTTTGTTGTGCATGTGTGTGTGTGTTGGTAGGGGTGCCGGGCCTCCGCAAGGTTGACTCAGCCACAAATGAGAACCAGGGTAGTGCAGTAAACATTGCCACTGGGGGAGACAAAAAGGCGGCCGGGCGCAGGCTCTGCTCACCACCAATGGTAGTTGTTAGTCATCACTGTTGGCCAACAGCACTTGCACGCAACAGTCCGGTCAAGGCTATACAGAGGAGAGGGGGGGGGAGGAGGTCAAAATCCCGACGTCATCGCGAGACGCCATCCCGACGTCATCGCGAGACGTCATCCCGACGTCATCGCGAGACGTCATCCCGACGTCATCACGAGACGTCATCCCGACGTCATCGCGAGACGTCATCGCGACGTCATCGCGAGACGTCATCCCGACGCCATCGCGAGACGTCATCCCGACGTCATCGCAAGACCTCATCCCGACGTCATCGCAAGACGTCACCCCGACGTCATCGCAAGACGTCACCCCGACGTCATGGCAAGACGTCACCCCGACGTCATCGCGAGACGCCATCCCGACGTCATCGCGAGACGTCATCCCGACGTCATCGCGAGACGTCATCCCGACGTCATCGCGAGACGTCATCGCGACGTCATCGCGAGACGTCATCCCGACGTCATCGCGAGACGTCATCCCGACGTCATCGCGAGACGTCATCCCGACGTCATCGCAAGACGCCATCGCGACGTCATCCTGACGTCATCGCGAGACGTCATCCCGACGACGTCAGCTGACGCCAACGGCGAGCGTGTGACGACCGTCAGCCACGCGGCAATGCGCGCGTGTCAACATCAGCGCGCCATGGCAACAACAACAACATCAACAACGAAGAAGACAAAGACAAAGACGACAAAGACAAAGACCCCCACACCTCCCCCACCCACGTCGAGACTCAACAGACCGTTTTGGGCAGGCGCTTTTGGCGGGCAGCACCTGTGAAGGCCGGCAACGAACTCGGCGTGGGTGGGTGGCCAGCAGCAAGCCCGGCCGCCTTTGTCTCCCCCAGTGGCGGCGTTCACTGCACACCGCACCAGGTACTGACCTGAGGCCGAGTCGACCTAGGGGAGGCCCAGGACCGGTTCGGATAAATCGTCACCGGTGGCGTTGGCCGTAGAGCGGGAGCCGAACCCCGGGCCGCCGCGGTTGTAGAGCAGCGTGGCGCTAACCGCTGCACCACCGCTCCCCACAACAACACACAGACGCTGACCTGGTTACCTTACTCGTTGCTTCCCACGGTCGATTGATTTCACCACTTTCCGACGGCATGCAGATGCAGCAATCTCTCTTCTCTCTCTCCTCCCTCTCCTCCCTCTCCTCTCTCTCCTCCCTCTCCTCCCTCTCCTCTCTCTCCT